CCAATTTCCAGTTATGCCCTAGACCTTAGAGATAGATGGACAAATTTAGAAAGTTACACTTAACCCTAGACTTGATTATGATACTGTATTAGGTCTTGGATTGAATTGCTTTTGATATGCCAACCGGTGATATCCATTAAGGGTCAAATAATTAGGCATATTGGAGCAATTTGAAAAATTACCTAAGTAGGTGATTATAGTGATAGGATTGACCCATTTGTCAGACAAAGTGAATATTAAGGTTTATACTCATTCTGATAGAAACCTAAACTATTGGCAGTAGATTTCAACTGCATTTAAAATCTAGTTTGCAAAATGTATTTATATGTTATATTATTATTTTATGTAAAATATTTGCAAAAAAAATTTTAATCCTAGGGTCTATTTCAGAAAAAAGAGTGTGACACTACATTTTGTAGTATGGGAAGAGGTATTTCTCAATAAGCAATGTTTTGATGATTATGAGTCAAGAGGTTAAGGGTAAGAGACCATTATAGGATTGATTACCTAATGAGTTTCATTTTGCATAAGTTCATTATTCTTGGGTCTTTATAAGGTGGTTGAATCCAAGGATAATTTATGTTCAAATGTTGGGCCCAAACTAAGCTTAAGTTGATTGGATGAAAGGTTTACTTCCCTTAGGTAGTGAATTCGACCTACTCCTTTCTAGGGGTGGGGCTGAACCCTTGTAAGTTGATGTAAGACATTTGTGTGTCCCACACCACACAATATTCATGGCCACTTTAAGTGGCCATGCAATGCCATGGGACATGAACCATTGAGGGAAATGGGCCTTAGTCCAATTATTAATAAGATTAATTAAGTGGTCACGTGACAACTTAAGTTGTCATGTGATATGGGTCGAATATGGGTAATGGAGCACCCATTTCTTTTAAATAAAATAAGGCTTATTTAAACATGGATGAGTCTTGATCCATATCTAATTTAGATAAAATCCTAATAGAATTAGGAAAATGTTCTATATAAGGGATGAGAGTGAAGGGTCGAACTATCCAATTTCTCTCCACTCTCTTGCACTCTTTCTCTTTTCCCTTACACCCCAAAACCCTAGTTCAAACTAGCCACTGTAGGGACTGATTCTCTTCAATACTTAGCTGATTTTTTGGAGAAAAACATCAATCACATCAAGGTTCACACATCTGCATTGTTCCAATGAGTTTAGAGCTTGGTTTTGCTGAAACTGCATTGATGGATTAGATTCACACACACTGCTACACCATCTTTAACAAGAGGCCGATCTAGGTCTAATATTAGGCATGAACCACTTTGCAAGTTGTTTTTGTGGATTCCGTATCAGGTATGATCAACTTTTAATTTGGGTTTCAAATTTGGTCTAGTTCAATGCAAGATTGATCAAAAACTTCAGTTTTCAAATTATCAGGAAATCAGTTCCCAAGTTGGGCTTTCTTTTTTTTAATAATTTGACCAACCACCTGATTTGTTCGGCCATGTTAAATCTAATTTCTAACCTAACCAACACAAGTTTTGCAGATAAAGCCTTCACACATAATACAAAGATATATGGGGATAGAGGATCCACTTGTCTAATATCTCTGGTGGGAAGAAATTTTATAGTAGGGGGTCTACTAATCAAAATATGGAAGGACACTAATTTGATACATTCCATAACCCACTTAATCCATTGGTAATGAAACCCAAATTTATCCAATACCCTTTGTATAAAATCCCATTCAACCTATCATACACTTTCTCCATATCAATTTTATTGGCCAATACATCCAACTTCCCTTCTTCTTCATGGAGTGAAACATTTCATTAGCAATGAGAAAATTGTCAACAACCTATCTATTAAGTACAAAAGCACTTTCAAACGAAGATGATGATATGTAAATAAGGTTTAAGACGATTAACCAAATTTTTTAAATAATTTTATAAATCACATTACATAGATTGACGAGATGGTAGCCATTAACAATCTCTAGGTTGTTGGATTTGGGAATCAACATTATGAATGTTCTATTTATTGCTTTGTTCATTTTCTTAGAACAAAGGAAGGCTTTAATTGTCTTACAAACAAAATCCCCACAATAGATTGAAAAGTTTTAAGAAAAAAAGAATTTAATCCATCAAGACTAGTGGCTTAAAAGTCCTAAATGATGAGTAAAGTATTAAGGATCTCCTAATTGACCACATTTTTTACTAGATTTTGATTAACATCATTTGTGATGCAATGGTTAATTTCATTAATAGCCTCATCAATACCACATGTGCCCTAGGTTTTAAATTTCTGTTGAGAGATGGAGCAAAAATGATTTTGAATATCATTATCTTTATTAATCTACTCACCCTCTTCATTATTAATTCTAAAAATTTTATTATGATTTCTTTTAATGTTGGTTACTGTATGAAAAGATTTATTGAGCTTTAGCCRAATGCAGCCTTAATGGATTAGTGGGGTTTGTAACAGGGTACACAAATCTCACTGGCATACAACGTGAAAAACCTGCCTTTAGAACCATGCATCATTAATATAAGTGATACCGTATGGCCAACTCAACTCTAAGTGGATTGGCCCTTACATGACTGGAATAAGCTAAAACAGAAAGAAGAAAGGTACAATAGTCTCCTGTGGGAGCAGAAAGCCCCCACCTATAAAAATACACCAGATTACAACTCCCACAAACATTTAGAGCTAAGTAGCAAAGAGACATTCTGCTGCATAATCTCTTTAACAACAGAGAACCAAGACACCACCCAACCAACAACCAACTGAATTTCATTCAAATTCTTCTTATTGAAGAAAACTCGATTGTTTCTCGCAGCCAAATAGTTCCTAAAACAACAACGGGGATAGACTTCTACACACACTTTTTTACTCAAGTTCGACAAATTCCAACACCACAGAAGCTCTTTAATTGAGYTCTTTCCCAGGTCAATTGTTCCATATTCCGATTCACTGAGATGACCCCATATAGTTAGGAGTTAGGACAAGGCTTTAGTCAATTTTTTAATACATCCAAGAAATCTGAGACTCTGATCAAGAGTAACCGATTCTTGAATATATTCTTGTTGGAAGGGTTAAGATCCATCATATGGATGGCCGAACCATGCTTGATGGTTGGGTTAAATTTCAAAAATTTCCTAATCCTTTTGGGAGTCAAATTTCCTATGTTTTGAAAAATTGCATTTTTCATGATTGATTTTGCACTAAACCATACTAGATTTGAAATCAAACAAAGAGGGAGATGTATACTTGATATGGATACCACCAATGCAATTCCCAAGGTGGAAGTTTATGCCTAAATTAGTCCTATGACTAGCCTCCATTGAAGATGAGCCGAGAAGTTAAGTGTAAGAGCCCATTACAGGGGAGAAGTCCTTCTTTGTCAGACAGTGTTTAATCATTATGAGCTGAGAAGTTAAGTGTGAGAAATCATTACAACGCTGATTACCTAATAGGTTTTATCTTACTTAAATCCATTATCCTTTGATCTTCATAAGATGGTTGATTTCAAGGATCATTTAAGTGTAAATGTTGGACCCATATTGAGTCCATAGTGATGTGCTCAGGGGTTCACTTCGTTTAGTAGTAAATTCGGCTAAGCCTTTTCATAGAGGCTGGGTTAAACTCTTGTGGATTTATGTAAAGTCATTGTGAGGTCCCACACCATACAAATCAGGCCTAAGTTGGCGATGCAACACTTTGGGTCGTGAGCCTTTGAAGGAAATAGTCCTAAGGCCCATAATTAATAAGATTAAGCAAGCTGTTATGGTCTGGGTCAAATCTAGGTTTCGAAATGGGTATGAAACACCCATCCTCTTAAGGGGATAAGACTTATCTCTTAATAAATTCTAAATCCAAATTAGATTTGGATAATCTCCTAATTTGATTAGGAGAGTGTTACATAAAGAGATAAAAGAAGAAAATGGCGAAGCAAACTAAGATACCACTCTCTCTTGTTCTCTTTTGTTCTCTTGTCTTATAAGAAACTCTATCACAACCTAGGCTTTAAAGAACCGATAGAGATTAGTTTTTTTTCTTATTTTTTTATTTTTCTAATTTTTGCAAGAAAAATTTAAAGGAATTTCAAACTCACTTTCCCTAGCTCGATCCAAGCAATTGGGTTGCAGTTTTGCTAAAAACTATGTTGCTGAATCAGCTCACCTATACATTTCGCCATTTTCAATGGAGGCTGGTTTTAGGATTGATTTGGGTGTGAACTTCCACATTGGGATTTGCGTTTGTGGTATCCATATCAGATACACATCTCCCTCTTTGTTTGGTTTCAAATTTGGTCCGATTTAATGCAAGATCAATCCTAAAAAATGCATTTTTTCAAAACATAAGGAATTCGATTCTTAAAAGGATTATGAAATTTTTGAAATTTCACCTAACCATTTAACATGGTTCCACAAATAATAGATCATAACCCTTCCAACATAAACCCTATCATTCACTTTGTTTGACAAAGAGACCGATCCTATCACCCACTCAAATGAATTCTTAAATTGCCCCAATATACTTAGGTTCTAACCCTTGATGRATCTCACTGATTGACATATAAAAAATAACACAATCCAACACATGGTGTAGTACTATAATCAAATTTAAGGGTTATGTGTAACTTTTCAATTTTTCCTATCAATTTTCAAGATTCAAGGCATAACTAAAAAATGGTTCAAGTTCAGTGTTTCGTCTAAATACACACTGCATGTGCTTCTAGTCAAATCCTAACATATTAGTGCCAACCTTGACAGGATAAACTCCTCAAGTCTATCCAACGATTGAGAACATAAAAACATACCAAATCAACATGAAACAATAATACACTTTTATTTATTTACAATAAATGTATCTGCACATCAGCCTCCATAATTTTTCTAATTGAACTAACGTTCCATTATTTTTCTCCGTCTTATACTCAGAAATTTCATGACGAAACTTTCTTGTGAACTATGATGGTTGTACACACAGGTTTACTAAATAATTTGGCATTTCAAATGATCTACTTTTGATTTGATATAGCAGCTAAGACCAATTATTTCTTATTTTCCTTACGAGTAAAGCTGGGATCAAATCCATGATCTCAAAGTTAAAATGTAATCCTAAGTGTTGTAAGGCCAAAAGTTAGTATTACAGATCGATATGTATCAAAATGGTCAGACCGTTGAAGAAACAAAAACATTGTAACTAAAGAAAACCTATAAGCATTTAGCTACTATGTAGCACTTGAGAAATTCTTCCTTCTTCCTCTGACTATAACTCGCTCTTGCCACCTGTTGTTTTCTCTCCACTAGATGTTTTTCCATTCACCGCAACAAGTTCAGTATCAAAAATCAGTGTTGCTCCACCTGTAATGTTTAGAACAGTTAAGATTTTTTTTTTTGGATCAACAATTGAAATTTCATTAAAATATAAACAACACAAAGTACAAAAAACAATCGGAGATAAAACCTCTTATCTCCAAATCGCCTCTAACAATTGTTAGGATATTGCAAAAGGTTGAAGGTGAGAGTTAAGAAAACAAGCACCTCATCACAATTTAGCGTTTTTATTTTGCTTTTTTCTTGTTCTAAGTATGAAATCATATGATTAGGAAAAAAACAAATGAGATGATGACCACATCAGGTTGCAATATAATTTTGAACTGAAATTGAATTTCAACATGTTAACTTCATCTTGAGACATTAAGGAGCTCACAATATTCTTGGTAATTTATTCATTACACGATAAAGCAGTAAGCCATTCAGCTGTTATAAATGGGTCCTAAGTTCACTAGAGTGCAAAGATTCCTACTTGAGGCAACGACATTGTAACAGCTGATGCTGGAAGCAACAGGAACTGTTTCACTCTGAAGAGATGTTTTTCAACCATATGGCATGGTGGCATTGTCTCACTGCAATACTTTATCAAGATCCATGAAAGTTTGCAATTAGAAGAATACCAGAAAGGATCATTAATACCTGGGATTGTAGGCGGGGATCCTTGAGCCCCATAACCAAGTTTTGCAGGTATTTTCAACTTCCGCTTCTCCCCCACACACATTCCCAAAATCCCTTGGTCCCATCCTGCAAAAAATGGATCTTATCAAGAGAAGATTACCATGGTAATTGACAACAGCCTAAGCTCCTACACCAATCTGTTGCATATATATATATATGTATATATATTGATCAATAACAGAATTTCATTGGAATTAATTAGGAGGTATAGGTATTACAACCAAACAGCTTTTTAATGTCTAACAGCTTTTTTGATCAATCTGTTGCATATAGTCATACATACACTTCGTTTCAATTGGATGTCTAACAGCTTTTTAATGGTAAAAAAAAGCTGTTGCATGAGCTCATATAGTTCGCTTCATCAGCTCATGCAACAGCATTTTTTTTACCATAAAATATCAGCTGCATGAGCTGATGAAGTGAACTATATGATTTATCACAAAAAATTAAGCTGTGATACAATCAACTGTCATTGATATTTTTGTGAAATGTAAACCTTGTATAGAAAAATATAAACCATGAAGAACATAACCTGTAACAGAAAATATAGGTACAAGGTTTTCATGCAAACCTCGTTTTTCTTTTCCTTCAATATTTATGGCAAATGGTGGTTGTTGGGGTCGGGTTCACAAAATCCACCAATTTACCAACTTGGTAGAGAAAATGCCAACCCAAACCTATGGAGAACAGGGCTGGATAAAGAGTTTGTTCAATGACTGACAAGGTTGTATTAATCCATACCATGCAGAATTCTGATTGTGAAATGCCTATCCAAACCCAATTTATTAATCAACAATTGGACAATTCAACCCAAATCCCAAGACAGAGATGAAGCTTGTCAGAAGAAGACATCCAACCAATAACAACCCGACAATCTCTTTCCACCAAAAAATTAACTCACCCCAAAGATGTAAGTTTTAAACCTTTAAATAGTGCCATCAGATCAGCACTTAGATTCCTTCCCAAATAGTAACTGAGAAACTCAAAGAACTTGTCCAAGATGATTTCTAAAGACTCCAAGTCTCAATCCCCCATGCTCTCTATGGAACAATCATCAAATTACACTTAATCATATCATGATTTGAAATGCCTTGGGAAATTAGAATTTATGGAGATCAACCAAGAGATTTTCTTGGAAGCGCTATGAGTCTATATGCATGCCCTCGTAACCCTCCTTTAGACAAGGGCGAAGATTAGCTTCTCTTTCCTACTATGACACTATGTGGTTTGAATCATTTGATTCCATATACTCAATGGTGTAATGCCAATATGCTTTTTGCCCCATAGTCATGGCATAGATTTAGAGTGGAAACCATTCAATCATAGTTGTCAAGGTGACATCTAGGCAACAAGGCACCCTTGGAGGGTCACCTTCCCTAATCACCAAGCAGATTTGTACATGGTGTTATGAAATATTTTTATATTCTTAATTTTTTAATATTATAATTATAAAATAGACACCTAAACTAAAATAATCATTTTGTGTTTATATACTAGTTTCTTTTTATTATTTTCTTATTTGTTAGGGTTTAATCAACACACATGTTGCTAAATGCTGTCTTGAAGCCTCAAAGACTTCAAAACCTGAAAACAAAAAATAGGGGGTCCAGCTCCTATATTTTCTGAATTATCTTTTCTTTTTTCTGTTTTCTTTTTCTTCTCATGAACATGTTGATTTTCTATACTTTAATATGAAGTTTATACTTTTCTCATGAAAATTATAGATTATTATTAAGGAAATATGATTGCCAGTTGCTATGGAACCTAGGGAACTACCCTAGAATATATGATGTTTACTTAAAAAAATTGCCTAGGCGACAAGGCACCCTCGTTGCATAGCCTCGCCTAGCCTCGCCTTGGTGCCTTGAAAACTATGTATTCAATTATCACTTTACCTATCTTTCATTTCTTTTAATGATTCTAGAAAAGGACATTAGACAAACACATATTTCCACCCTTTGAAAACAAAAGTAAAATGGTATAAAAGGATGAAAGAGGAGACTCCACCCACCACAAACAATAATATGGTGATGAATTTGAAGATATATCCACATCAGCTTTGTTGAACAATTGGAAGGAAGTGGCCTGTTCAGCTCCTGGCAAGATTGTCCCAGTGTTTTAAAAGCGCAAGGCGCTAAAAAGGCGCAGGGGTCAATTTGCACCCGAGGCACAAGGTGAGGTGCATGCCTTTTTGAAGGAAGTCACAAAAATAAAAAAAAATGCTAAAAAACTAAAAAAAAGTCAGAAAATAAAAAGAATGCCAAAAAATATTAAACATAATATTAATAAAAAATATAAACTTTAAAATTTAAAATAAACGTTTTAAAAAACCTATTATCTAAAATTAAAATACATAAGCATAACATGTAAAGTATATTTAAATGTGAATTTAAAAATAAAATCAAACATATAAAACATTTTCAAGCATGTAAAACCCACAATCTCTTTTTTTCCTCAATTGCATTAATTAAAGTAGCTAATGTGATGTAAAACATATTACATTCTTAATTGTATGAGCCACCTTTGTGCCACGCCCCTCGAGGCAAGTCCAAACAAGTCCATGTTAGGGTCCAAACAAGTCCATTTTATAATTTTAATTGCTTTTTAAGAAGATATTTTAGTAGGATGAATGAATGAACACCATTACCAAATAGGGGTGAAGCCCCCGACCCAGCCACTAGGTTCAAAAAAGCAAAAAAGCGTCAAACTTTCAAAAGGCACATGCCTGGGCTGAGGCACAAGGTGCATCAGCTGCACCAAGTGTGCGCCTTTTGAAAGGGTTGTGCCTAGTACTTGGGCAAGGCACCTACCCTAAAATGTGCCTCGCCTGTTAGGCGCGCCTTTTAAATCATTGGATTGTCCCCCGTCCAATATGGAATCTTCCAACTCCTAGCCATATAAAGCTGAACTTCGTGGTAGAAGTGAAGGAAGCCCTGGCCCTTTAGGCATTGGAGGGGTTTTTAGGAATGAGGTGGGTGCAATTATTGTTATGTTTTCAGGCCTAGTTGGGGAAGGAGACTCTCTTTGAGCTGAAATTTTGGCACTCTTGGAAGATGCCAAAAGGCTAAGGAGCTTAACTTAAGGAGGTTAATTATTGAGGGACACTCGAAGTTAGTAACAGAATGGGTACAAAAGGAGGAGAGTAGCATGTGGAGCTACTTGAATGAAAAAAGAATATTTAAGTGGTTGACTCGGGATATGACAGTGAGATTACAACAGGTAAAGAGGTGTGCCAATTCCTTTGCAGATGCACTAGCCAAACAAGGGGTGAGAAGAAATAATCTATTTTGGGCCTATTTGTAATCTTTTATTTTTTAGGGGGAGTTAAGAGAGTTTATCTTCCCCAACCTTTGTACTTATCTTTCATTTTTCATTARTGAAATGCTTATGTTATTGATAAAAAAACAATAATATAGTGATGAAGTTTTCAATGCCTTATTCTTAGCTGAGATAGAGTACAACTATACAAGGCAATGGCATATGGAGTTTCTGAACTATTGTGGCTTAGATCACTTTTGAAAGAATTGGGTATTGACTATGAGAAGCTAATGATGCTATATTGTGACAATCAGGCAGTTATCGACATTGCACATAATCCTGTCCAGCATGACAGAATTAAGCACATAGAGGTTGATAGACATTTTATATGGGAGAGAGTTGCTTCAGGGGAAGTCTGCTTGCCATTTATTGCTTCTAAAAAATAGTTGGCTGATGTTTTGACAAATGATATTCCAAAAGGGAAGCTGATTCATTACATAAGAAGCTGGGCATGATTGATATCTATGCTCAATTCGGGGGGGAGGGGGGGGAGTGTAGAGAGACTGGGCCGAATGGGCCCTAGTACATTATTTTGTTATTATTGTTCCTTACATGTTTTTGTTTGATAATGGGCCTTATTCTTATGGGTCTGTTAATCTTTTTTTATTTCTTTTAAGTGTGTTCATGAGCTGGCTGCCCACTTAAGGACAGAATTGTAATCACTTCTAATTAAGTGAGATTAATAAAAGATTAGAGAGAGGAAAAAGAAGACATTGAACTCTCTTCTCCATCTTCTTCTTTCTTCTCTGCTGTTCCTCTTCTACTTTTTCTTCTTTTTCTTGCTATAATCAGAGATTATTTTCAGGTTTTATTGGACTGAATCACATCTCTGATGAAGGAAATTATTATTAAAGAAGGTTACTCTCATTGGAAGACTATAGAAAGCAAATACAAAGTCACAAGGGTCCACTATAAATAGCATTGAACTTGTATTAAAGGAGGCCTGTAACCATTTCTTTTGTAGTTTGAATAGCCAAAGACAGCAAGTTTTTGAGAATGAATTATGCCTACAGTAATGGAATTGGATTTATCATTGCACCATGATCTAACTGCTTGTGGTCAAGTAACATTATGTATCTTTACCACTGTTGCTGGGAAAGATCAATTGATGACATATTTTATACAATTGCTTTCACATAATCTTCTATAGCCCATAGAATGTGAAGACTAAGCTGCAGAAGCACATTTGCTGATTTCATGATGTCATCTACTTTTGTTAACATACCTTTAATAACTTGTCCACTACCAAGCTCAAACTCAATTGGGTCACCTCTTTCAAAACTGGAATCAAAGACAGTTCCATCTATGAGTTTGCCCTGTAATGTAAAGATACGTCAGTTTTAGAAAATGCACATATGTGAAGCTTGACTATGTATTTAACCTAACCAGTCAAGTACCTATTTGCTTGAACTTATATGATGATAGAATAGTTCTGTCATTTAGCTCTAAAATGCTCACAATAATTGAACCATTGAATTTTCAGATTCATTTTATAACAAGGAAATTAAAGATCAGGAAGAGGGAAATCTATAAACACAAAGAAACATCATATGGTGAAAACGATGATGTACAATGCTAGACATGACTTCATATCCAATAAATGCATATTTTTATTCTTACCCTCAATAAAGAAAAAGGGCACCACTGGGGAGAAGGTGATTATTTGGCCTCACACTGTTATTAGGGAAGAGTCACATGCAGAGTCATAGGAATGCAAGTTCTGGATAATAACTTAGCATTATCTCTATTGAATGCAGAAATGGAGATAACCTTAACATGCAGGGTATATGGGGTATGTGCATCATGCACAGAAATGTACAAAATACACAAGCTAAACCTGTAGTTGCTTCTGAAACAACCCACAACCTTGAACTCTGACTCTAGCAAGCCTGGTAGGAATGAAATTAGAAGATTTAGGAACCCTGATGAATAAGGTGTTCAATGTAAAAGCCAAATATCTAGTATTGAGATGATTCAATAATCAAGGCTCACCAGCAGAACCTCTCGTAAGTGTCATTACCTTGGTCCCAGATATCCATGATCTTTTTATTTATTTATTATTATTTTTTGGGGGGGTGTTGTAGAATGGACATGGACCTAATCTCCTGCATTCTCCTGCGAAATGGCCACACTCAAGACTCAAATGCACATTCTCATGCTTGTCAGCCTGAGATTTTACCATTGCACCAAGCAATAGCAAATAGCCCCTACAAACAGAACCTCTCGTCCATTCAATAAGATAACATAGGAATCCCTCCCCTCCCTGTCATCACTCTGTTGTACCCAAGGAAGAATAACAATATGAGATCTTAGAAGACTAGAAGCAATATTGAAATTTAGCTTTATGGTGTTTAATTGATAATGATGTTTTTTTTTTTTTTTGAGGGAACTGCTGTGCTTAACACCCTACCACGACAAATGATATCTTGAGAATTTGGAAGGAAGTGGTATTATCGGCTCATTCCAAGGAAAGAGTAAATATGGAATGGAGACCCCCAGCAACCAACTTTGTTAAACTCAATTTTGATGGGAGTTATATTGGTAGTCAGCAGGTTAAGGCTGGACTGGGAGGGGTGTTCTGTTAGGGCCCAGCTCAGTATGGGCTCCAAGGGAGGAGAGGGGGGAGATCAGTCCAACCCACCACCCTAGGTAATGGATTGGCCCATCATAGCTCGGGTTTATGCCAGAAGGCCACGACAACAAACCGACCTGTCAGATGCCATTAGGAGTGGGACTATTCACTCGAGCAACCAGCATCCATGAATAACCTAATGGTCAGAGTCTGCTGAGAGTCCCAGGCCTCCTCTATATAAAGGACCTGGTCTATGGATTTGCTTATGAATGAATCAACTATTCTTTAGATTATCAAAAAAAAAAAAAAATCAACTATTCTTTCCTTCTTCTTCTTCGATTAGGAGGCTGTGTCACCCTCGAAGGGGCACCTGCAGTAGGCAGTTCGTACCATGTTCCAAGACACAGAAGGAAAGGTGTACTGTATTCAGGACCATTAGCAAATGGTAGTGCATTGACAGCAGAGCTGTGTGGATTTCTTCACGGTTTAAAATTTGCTAAGCAATTCGGTTTCCACAACTTGGAGGTGGAAGGGGACTCTCAGGTCAATTCATGGACAAGATGTAGCTCCAAAATCCCATGGGTCTATAGACGTACTTCTTGGGAAATAGAAATCATATCAAGGGAGTTGAATGTTGTCTTTAAATGGGTGTGAAGATCAGCAAATGGGATGGCAGATGTTTTGGCCAAACAAGGGACAGCAAGGTACCAAATGTTTTGGGCAAAATTATAATTTATAAAGGTTGTCTTTAGGGTGGAAAAACCCACGTATTTGTAATACTTGAACTTGATATTAATAAAATCTTTTTTACTGATAAAAAAATCTTATCACGACAACCTTGAAATTGGAGATAAATTTCTAAGGACCAATTAAACTCAGTGTACTACCTAAATAAAAAGCATTATCCTCGATTGCACATTAATCAAAGAGTGCAAGATATTGACTACTAAATTGTAAAAAAACATTCTATAACTAGCATCAAAGTCATCTTCCCTAATTTTATCATCAGATGCTGGGGGTATAAACAAGATTTCTCCCTACACCAGATATGTAGCATGCTGATAAGTTATCTCCTATGTTCATTTCAAGGTAAAATAACTTAAGAAATGCTGAAATGGTTAAATAGCAATCTGATATACCACAAGACAGAGGTACTGGAAACATAATAATTTGTAAAATATTATTATCGTGATTTCATCTTTAACCCATTACCCACCACAATATATCCATCTTTAACCCATTACCCACCACAATATATCCATCTTTAACCCATTATCCACCACAAAATAAATCTAGTCTCTTATATGTGAACTTTATGTCAAAATACCTTGGAACAAAACTAGAATATCATGAAATTTCAAAAGAATGAATACTGCTTGCATCCTATTATGACATCCATTGTGGCAGTGATATGCATTCATGCTGCTCATTCTTTTATAAGAGATTCAAGCTACATTACACTTACCCGGTAGTGTACTTTGATTCGATCACCTTTGTGAGCCTGAACATCACAGGATTCTGGCTTAAACTGTAACAACAAAACAAAAAGCAAATTAAAAGATAACCAAGCAGAAAAAGAAACTGAGGCTATACCACATTGAGATAGAAGGGGATTCTAAATTGGTAATTGGGTGGATGCAGTCAGGTTGTTTGGGAGCCTGGACACATAGACAACTGATGAGAGAAATTTTTAGTTTAACAAGGGAGGTTGGTGTTTGCTTTTTAGTGGACAAGAAGATCAGCTAATGGGTTAGCTGATACCTTAGCAAAACAAGGGACTGTTAGGGAGACTATGTTTTGGGCAGTGTTGTAATTTAATTTGCTTTTCTCTTTGTTCAACACCCTATACTAGGGGTTGACAGTTGTACTTCAAAAGATCTTCAAAGACGTTGCCGTTTCCAATAAAAACAAGCAGAAAAGAAACTGTTAATGAGAATGGAAGAATATAGTCAGGCTTCTATTTTACATATAGACATACATGCCTGTGCATGTATATATGTGTGTGTGTGTGTGTGTGTAGAATTCTATGAAGCACAGAAAAAACCAAAACACATTTATATTGAAAATGACAACCTTATAGTACACAGATTCTGATCTAATTGTGGCAATATGAAAAAAAAATAGCAGGTTCAGATAGGTGATAGTTTCTGTGTCTTTAACTTCTCATTGCCAATACCTTCTGTATCCTCAATAAGGAAAGCTTTTGATCCAATGGATAAGATTTTATGGCACTCTACCTTTTTACTAATTTTTCCCTCAGACAGCCTTTTACACAGATTTTGATTTGGAAGCCAAGGATGGGGTACAAAAGACATCGCAAGCTCAAGGATGGGGTACAAAAGACACAACTGGCCTATGCCAATGCTTAACATGCTCAAGAGATGAAAACGACAACTATGATGATCCTGAAAAGCAATCTTTCCTGCCTACCCACTGTATAAATGGATCTGACATGAAGCAAGCTCTACTTAAATGGAAAGGCTCTAACAATCTAGATCTACAACACCTTCATTAAACTTGCAAGGCATATTAATCTTACAATAGCACATAAAAAGTTAACCAGTAAAGAAGGGTTATGTCATCTAAGGAAAATAAATAACCACTGCTAAGGAAAATAGATAACTTGCAAGGCATATTTATTATAATTTTTTCTTTTTGCTAAAATGAAGCAATACAGTATAGGATATCACTAAATAAACAATATCCTAGACGTTTGATCTGGAACATTTTCCTTTCTTCTTTTCACACGGCAATGTAAGATACAATTTTTTCGAGAATGCCCGACTAAATGAGTAAAAGAAACTTGAATTACCAATGCAGAATCAACAAACAGTGTCAAGCATACTTTAGGAGACCCCCCCCTCCGGAAAAAAAGACTAACCTTCCGTTTCGGATATTGTTAAATTCATATGTTTTACAATAAATTCTTAGCATTGACAATAGTTGATTGAATGAAACAGAAGCTCCAAAAGCATAAAATTTCTTTGACTCCACCTAAATATTTCTGATAGAAATAAATTGCCACAAGTAGATCTCAATCCCAAAGAATATCAAAAGAAGGGCCAAAAGGAACGGGAAGGTAAGCTACCTTCACACCGATCTGCAGCTCCGTAACGTCACCAGATTTTTTAGCAGAAACTGCAAAAGAAGGAAAAAGTAGAAAAACAAGAAGAAGGAAATTGCTTCAACAACCAACCAGATCTAACAAAAACATTGGAGTTAAACTCTTAAGAATCATTCCACTATTCTTTCTGATTTTCATGAATAAACGCAATTCAAATAAAATTTTACCAAAAATCGCTGAAAAGACCATCACATTTAGCACTGATACAATCATTAGTAAATAGCAAGGCTTCATCATCTCCATGCTCTCAACCGCGTTCTTTCTCCTCTGGTGAGTGGTGGCCACTTCACAATTAAATTCTCGATGGTCGACGTTAATCCGTAATCGGGAGTTCCGGACCCGTGCGGTGCACGGGCTTTGGTAAATGAAATTGTGGAAAAAGGATTAACCATGGGAGTAGCGGTGGCAATTGGGCGGGTTGGGCAGGATTTGGTTTGGGTTGAGCGTCAATCTAATCCATCTAACCTCCAATCCATTAATGAACCACTTATATAAAATTAAATGGATTGGGCTCAATCCAAACCCTAACCCAATTTAACCTGCCCAAATCCATTAATCTTATATTTATAGAATTAAAAAACAAACTAATTCTTTCTTAACAAATAAGTTGGTCATAGCTTGGTGGTAATTGTAGTTATTATTTATACAAGTGGTGAAGGTTTAAATTACATTACATGCATGCTATTTTTACACAAGCGACGAAGATAATTGGATTATCTTCGAGCTAATCACATCAAGGGTGATTGAACCGTTTAGATCTAGATCAGTCAGGTCGGACTGGACCGGTTCACACAATGGTGGATTGACTTGGACTGGATCATATCAGGTTTGTGCACGAGTTTGGGACCGAACCGACTGACCCGAATCGGATCAACGTAAGTAAAATCGGGTCGGCTGTGTGACTATTGGTTGGTCGGATGGTCCAGATCGGGCAAAGCACACAGACACCGAACCGTCTTGCTGAAACCGTTTCGGATTTGGGCAAACTCGGATCAACTTGTATTGGGTCAGGTCGGGCTGTATGAATGCTAATTGGACTGAATGACCCAAACTGGGCATAGCAAGTGGTACTGAACCATCCCGCCCGTGGTCTATTTCGGACTCGGGTCGACCTAGACTGGTATATGCTGGATCGGGTCAAACCGCGTTGAACTGGTTAGAACTCGGGTCAAATTGATTTGGATTTATATTGGGTGAAGTGTGTTGATTCAAGAAAAAACTAAATTTAATCAATAATTAATAGAAAATTAATGTATTAATTATAAATTATTTAATTCAAATGAAAAAAATAACAAAAAAGGCTAAAGACCTGTAATGGTTAACCCAATGGTTATCCACAATCCAACCCAACCCAACCCATTTAAATGGGTGGATTGGATGGGTTCAACGGGCTGGGTGAAAAAATTGCCACCCCTACATGGGAGCTTGCATTCTATAGATCCTTGATTCACGGGAAACTTGAACCTGCAAATGAAAATTGAACACGTCAGTCATATTGAGTGAACAGGAATTTGACGGAATTGCTCTGTTAAAGCTGGTTCAACCAGCCGCTAAAAGACAAAATGAAAAACAATAAAATTCAACAATTCCTCCCTCCCACCGTTTCTTAGTAGAGTTCAGATGTGCTGACCACACACATCCTGGAATGGGATTTGTTCCTTGTACATGGGCGCCTCACAGGCACATCCACCGTGCATTGGGAACATCTCCCATGAATAATAACTTATAAGTACGAGAGATGTTCCCAATGCATGGTAGAATCTACATGTGAGGCCGGTGTGAGGTGTCTTATGTGTGGAGCAAATCTGGTCTCGCACATCCTACTGCACATCAGTAATATTGGTTGTGCTTTAATATACCAATATTCCTGAGGCCAACAATGTATAGTGGTTAGTAGATCTAAACTCCTCTCAGCATGCTATGGAGAAGGCCAAAATAGTACCATTCTTTTAACTGAGGTGACTCTTGATAGGAAGTTTTAGGTACATTACCAAGAATTATAACATTGTAAAAAAGATGGGTAGTGATGTATGCGCATGTGGTCCTACCCAATAGCAGCCTGCATGTGTTAGGCGGCGACGTTTAGAGCGGACCCAATCAGGGCGTGTGCGGAACAGAACTCGACGTGTATTCCGGAATTAGTAGCRCAGCCGCACTTGGCAACTTCGGATGGCCGCGCTCCCTGCGTACAAACCGCATACAGACCGTCCGAGCCTACCTACCTCCAAACGGCTTCAAGTATAAATAGGAGCCAACCCCCTCAAGGTAAGGGACTGAAACTTAAGAACTTGGACTTGAGAATTCCTGATCTCCTTTGTGGCCTCGTCTAAGTGTTCTCACCTCAGGCCTCGTCCACCTTGCACCCCCTCATACTAACTTGACCGTCGGAGCCTCTGCCTTGGGTACCAACCAAGGGCCTCTAACGTTCTCCTTTCTTCACTCCTCACAGGACAGGCCTACCAGCCCTCGGCCACTTCAGGCCTTAAACTACTCGATCACACCTCGGCTCATGAGCGAATTGACAGTATTGCCCTCAATCCATTTTGGCTTGCAACAAATAGTAAGAAAAATGGTAGCAACCCAACGTGACACTTGCTGTTTTTATCACAACCAGTCCATGAATACATGGATTAACAAGAGAATGGCATCAAATTATCTAACAATCTGTTCAGGTTCTCAGATACTTGTAGTAGTGCGTTTCAACAGAAGAGTTCTGGAGATTCGCAAAAAGAACARAAAAAAAGTGGTTCAGATTTCATGCCATCACAATTATTGGCTTGCCAAAACAAAAGGAATACATTATCATTGAGAGACAAGAGAGAAATCATGTCTAGAGTTCCTCCAAAGGTTTCTTCTACATTGGTTCCTACAAAACAACTTGGATTTCTTGTTATCTCCTTCAAAGACGACAACTTCCTAGCCCTCGGATTTATCATTGGAGACTTTTTTTTTTGAAGCAGCAGTTGAGAACCTCCTTATGATCTTGGAATCCCATCGTTCTCCATTGTTTGGGCAAGGTTGTTGCTCTGCTGCTTAAGCGAGAGATGTTTGGGAAGATGGGGTCACTGTATCTTTGGAGGAGAAGCTCTGAGGCGCGTCTAAAGGCACTGTCTTTATAACGTTATTTTCCCCCACTCAGTTTTACTGAGTTTGCTGTTGGGTTACAGGCAAATTCATTCCCAGGATACAACAGAGCAACCTTCTATGATACTGTAGCAGACAGGACTGAGAGAGAGAGAGAGAGTGAATTTCGAAATTGTGTGTTTTGGAGTCCGATTCATGCTCCTTAAATAATTTGTGAAGAGGTATGAGGAAAATGTAGGTGTTGGTTTAGAGAAGGCACATTGAACAATCACAATTTCAAATATTGTGACTGTTAACTTTGAATTGTGCCTCTTGATCACACCCGGTCGAATCGTGACCGTTGATCTCATCAACGGTGATCAACGGTGATCAACGCACCAAAACCAGAGCCGTCCATCGCGAGCCACGCGGGTGCGAGCAAAGTGCGCCCGCGTTGCGCGGTATCGAATCCCCATACTCTCCTCTACCAATTCTAAGGAGTGTAAATCAGCTCCTTTTGAAATACTGAAAACAATCCTTATAATTATCCAATGTGGGACAAGTTCAAAATCGGGTTTTTGTAAGAGAAAAACAGATTTTTCAATCAAGTGTGCAAGTGCAATTTCTCATGTAATTGACTAATCAAACCCATTGGATTTAATCTCTTATGAGATTAAAATCCAACAATCCCCCACATTGATTGATCAATTACATAGTTCTCTCTCAATCCAAAACTACTATGACA